GTGATCCTAGTACTGTATCTCAGAGACGCCCTCTCCCCTGGCAGCACTCGCTGAGTCAATGTCTGGCTTCCGGTGGGGGAAGTTTTTCAGATGAAACTGGTAAGTTCCACTCACCCGATTCACATCACCCTGAAATGGAGACAGTGGTAACAAACTTCAGCCTCTAGGTTTCTCGCCAAATTGTACGTTTCGTTCACCCAGAATTCTTGCACTAATGGGTTTCCATCACATCATGTCTATAAATGGGTGCACTTTACTGTTTGAATTTGTAACTCTGATAAATACTGGATATTTAAGTGTGCGTAATGTCTTCATTAGAAAATAGGAGAACCGCTCTTTTAGTGTATCTTTCAAGGGGGGAAAAAAAGGAAAAAGAGGAAAGAAATCAAGCAGTGGATCACAACATTTATAGCACAAGAAATAACTGTTGTATATAAGCATCAAAAGGATTAAGAATTTTTAAATACAAAACATATTTGCAGTGATTTTAAAGTGCTTTTCCAGCAATTTTCTTAGGGACTCCTGAGACATGGTTACTTTATTTACTGGATCAGTAAGGCACACAATTAACAATTAAAAATTAATGTTTATTTACAAAGTAAAGGGAAAACCTGTGTAACATGAGAATTTGGCATGGACAAAATGGAGGCCATTTTGTATCTGCTGTTGTGTCTTGTCCGGGTCGCAGACGTGCACTATTAAAGCCCCAAGTTAATAGAGCACAAACCCTTCTTGTTCCTCCCCCACGTGCCCCTCTTTCTAGATGTGTTTAACTTAAACTTGAAGGCTCAGGAAAATGCCACTAATTAGAATCATGTACAGCACCCCAGGTCGTTGTCCAGAGATACAAGTTTGCTAATTTAGTTAAGCCTGGATTATTAAACACTTTTCCTAAATTATTGTAAACAGAACAGCCTAGAGAAAGGTATTCGCAGTCCTTATATTGTATAGTAGTTTATGAACCCCTATCTAAATATTGGTATTTTTATATTCCAGAGATGTACCCAATAGAAAAATTAACCAGTATCTAATTTAATATCCATAAGTATTTTCCTTAGATTTTAGTCATATACGGTGGGTTCTGTGGACGTCACCTTGCTTCAACCATATGCTACCACTAGGTGTCACTGTGGCTCTGCACCAGGCTCGTCTGGTGGCAAAGGCCGGCAGCGTGTCCTCTGGAGGGGCCGCTTCCAGGGCAACGAGCAGGCCCAGAGGGTTCAGGAAGGAGGGGACAAAGGCCTGGAGAGGGCTCTTCACGCATCTGTGCCAGATGTGGCAAGATAAGCTCTCTGAACACTACCTGCTTTGGACCTTCAGCCAGGCAGAGGCCCGGAGAATGTGGACTAGACCTCCCTTGCTCTGGTGGCTGGGTGGGTGTGAAGAAGACTCCTTTAGGCCGCATGTGCTCCCCTCTCAGTTCCTCTTGGCCTCCAACTTTTACAACTCCAGAGACGTCACAGTTGGGTGGTTTGATTCAAAAAATAGTTATTTTTCTACTGCAGAAATGCCTTGGACAAAACCAGTTGCCCACTGAATCTTTGCCACAAAATGGAACAGGCTCCCCAGGGGGCACGGTGTCCCCTCCCTGTCCCAGCCTCTCCCACCCACCCTGTCTGTCTGTCCTTGGGCTGCCCACTTCTCACGAAGCCAACTTGCAAAGGCAGCCTGCTGCTGCTTCCACACCAAGGCCGGTGCCGCCCCCCGTTGCGCGCACATTGGGAGGTGTGGCTTTTTCTCCTTTTCCTCTAGGAATTCCAGACTGACCATCTACCATGACTTAACAACAATGAACAAAAAGGGCTTAGGGGTAAGAGCTACCTACAAAGACGTGTCATGGAAACCTTCACCATGCAATGCCTTGAACTCAGCTCTGGCTGCTCCCAAGAAAAGGTGGCTGGCTGGGGGCCTGGACACAAGCACACTGCGAATGGTGGAGCCACTGTGCAGAGCTACTTGAATAATCACTGGGTCTTCATCAACTCCTTTTATAACACAGACCACTCAAGGGCTGAAGTGTTGGTAACCTGCATTTCGGTGTCCAATGCCTCACAGCTGCTGAACCACCCTGAGATGCTTGTGGCCACATGATGGCCACGGTCAGAGCTTTGAAAGTTAGTACCAAATGAATGCGTAATTGGACACCAAAAATCAAGTGTTACTTTCATGTTTCCTCACCCATACCATATCTCACTTCTTCCTGCTGACTCTGATAATCTCCACTAAGCTGACCTGTCAGGTTTTAGCTGAATGCATATAGATGCAGGCCAGCATCCACTCTTGTTTTTCAGACAGACCTACTCTGCAGACAGGAAGGAGCTAGCTGCTTTGTTTGTGTAGCACTTACGGGCTGGGTTTTTCTTTTGCCTAATCGCTAACCAGAACACCTGGTTAGGGGGGACTCAACTCAATCCCTTCTGTCCCCAGGACCAGACAGAGAGTTCATTCTGGAAAATTCAGTACTTGAATGTACCTGCCTTATTGTGTACCAGCTTACTGGGAAAAAAAGATAGAAAAGCCGGCTCCAGATCTCTCCTCCATTCACAGGTTATTTTGGAAATCCTGTAAGTTACACTTCCTGTTCTAGTTTATTTTTGTTTTTGTTTTTTCCTTTGGCTGATTCCTGCTGAGTGGGGCCAGTTCCTCATCAGGCTCAGGGCAGGTGCCGTTCTCAGGCATGGCCTCCTTTCCATCTAGCGCAGCATCTCCGTCTCTGTTCTGTCTCCTCCAAATCCAAGATGATTTTAATTAGTACAGACATGTACAGTCTACAATTAAAGAGTGATTTGTACTAATATGATTTTGATTCTTCCTCCTCTTTGCTGTCCTTTCAAGACACTTGCTGGAAAAAGCTTTAATGCACTTAGTTTTCCTTTAGGTTTTCTATGACTCCGATGTAAAGGACTTTCTCTGTACAGTATATTATCCAATGCATGTTTGTTCTCTCTCCCGATATATTGAACACCACACGGTTGTGAACTCGTGCAGTGGGGATGTCCCGCGCCCCACAGAGGCATCTAGCCCCCTGTGTATAAGGAAAGACATTTTCCTTTGCTGTACTTGCTTGAGCAGTTGTATTGTCTGTACATGTGAGCTGTGTGAGGTAGATGTGAAAAGGTAAATGAATGCATTCTCCTGCCCATGTGTACAGATCGCCATCCGTACAATGAACTGTATGTATGAAAGCAAATGTACTTATTTATAAAGGGTAACACTTGGAAAAACACGGTGTTGTGGTGCTTTCTGCTTACAGAACGATACCTGTCCAGGGGGCTGACCTGGGCTTCCCCTCGCTGGGGCCTGCAGTGCCGAGGGGGCCTCTCCTGGGACACGACTTTGGCAGGTTAAGACAGAGGCCACATTCCTGATGATTTGGTTGGTCTCTTGTAGGACAAGCAAAGTCACTCCTTTGGGCTCGTATTCACTCAGCCAAGTGACTGAGCATGTCCTCAGAGTTGGGACAGCACTGCAGGCACTCGAGAACACTGTGGCTAAGGGCCTCTCTGCGAAGGCTTGCAGTGCCCACTGAGAGAGAGGCTTTCTCTTCGCTGAGTTTCTCGCCAGCCAAACCAAGGGAGCACCGAGCTCTTCTTTTTGCACTTTAGTATCTGAGGCTGCACCCCTGTCTCGCTGCCTGAAGCCGGCTGCAGTGAGAGCCATTGCGTCCTGAGGCTGCACGTCCAAGGTGAGGGGACAGCCCCAGCTAGAGTCCCCGAGGGTAACACGGGCAAAGCTGCTTCCGGGGCTTCATCTTCTCTTCAGAAATGTGGCCAGACTTTCCCATCCTCACTGTCTAGGGAGCTAGGTGGCAGCGATGTAAATGGAGAGGCTGCGGGCTCCCTGCCCGGCTGGTACCTCTCTGTCTACTGCAGGCACAAGCGAGGGAAGAGACCGCTTCCTCTAGACACCACATTGTGCTGAACAAACATCCCTGTTGTGTAACCACATCCATTTCCCCCAAACAGGGCCGGGGAAGCAGGAAAACTCCGGGTGCGAAGTCACACCAGCCTAGATGCCAGAGTTGCCTTCAGAGAGGAGAGGAGAGGACTCTGGAAGCAGCCACCTGCTTGGTCTGAAAACATTGGGACTCAGGGGGTTCCAGACCCAGTAAGGCGAGGGACTCCTGAGGAGGTGGAGAGGAGAGGCATGTCTGGGGAGAGGCATGACCTTCATGTCTGGGATCATTTGAATACTCATTAACACAGAGACCCTTGATCCGGGGATGAGCACAAGAGCCAGAAGTGAGAGGCTTACAAACAGGCCAGCTGATTCTCTCCACACGCTGAGAGCCAGCCATGATCCTAACTGAGCCATCAGCTTGTAACATGCATCATGCCACATGCTTTGCAAGCTTTTAAGCAAATGAAGTTTCACACAGAAGCCTCGATTCAGGAGAAAAATTCTACAGATGCAGAAAGCAAAGACCTCTGGAGAACATAGAAAATAAAGTAAATGTTAGGAAGGACTTCTGTTCCCCAAGGATTACATCTCAAGGGGTTTGCTGCAGGGTCCCTTTAAATAGTGTTTTGTTTTAGGTGATGGTCCCCGTGAGATCCAGCCCGACTTCATACATACACCTCCTGCCTGAGCCTTAGGAACAGCTCTCAAGTGGAATGCCCGGCTTGGCTCGTTCTCAAAGTTTTGCTCCCCTCCTTACAGAATAAAGAGACATCTCTTTTAAAAGGTAAAAAGTTGAGCGAATACTAGGGAAAACTTCTTGCCGAGGCCCTTACCACGCTCCACCCTCCAGGCCACTGTCTCTGGGCTGGGAAAAGGGTTTCTCTAACCAGGAAGAGCCTCTCGCTCTGGGTCCAGAGACTGAATAGCCCCTGGGCCGTTTCAGAGCCAGGACAGAGATCACGAATCACGTTACCTTCTGTGCCCAGCGGGGGGATGTTCAGTTTCTGTCGAGCCTGGTAGAACTAACTTTCCTGTATCTGATGCTGCTAAAAGCACTGGCCCCTTTCCTGCCAGGGTGAATGAGGAGAACAGGCCAGAGATCTGCTGTAGACGTTTATTGAATCATCGGTTGCACCAACACTGCATTGTACTTCACAGACGACTGGCCACAGGCAAAGGTAAATAAACCACAACGGATCAGCTTTCGGGGGGGGTCTCCTTAATCATCCAACATACACTTTGGCAGACAGACCAGTTTACAGATTTTAACAGAACTAAGGTTCTGTTTCTCTGGGTGGCGTTCTGGCGGGAGAGATACACACAGTTGTACTTTGGTAGTTTGTCCAAGCGGGAGTTTCTCCACATGTAAATACCAGCCAGGTGATGAAAGAACCGACGGAGCCCCTGCCTGGTAGACCTGGTAGAGCCATGCGGTGTAGGCAGGCGAACACCGCACCCCGCCCCTGACAAGCTGCAGTGGAGGTGGGGATGTGGGGAGAGGCTGGCGGTGGGGGGGGGGGGGGGTTGCTGGGCAGCCCTGATGGGAGGGCGCCAGACCCGCAGGCACCTGCTTGGAGAACTTGCGTCGCCAGAGGCAGGGCCCGTGGCAAAGTTGAGCATGAGAAATCTGAGCATCAGAGGAGGCCAGCGCCTTTCTCTAAGGCAGCGGTTCGGAGAGAAGAAGGCAACCGTCTTTGGAACAATAGTCAGTTTAGAAATCTCATTCATTTCTTCACTGAAGTAAGCTGTGTCTGTTTCAAACTGTGTCATGTTCCTCAAAGCCCAGAAAATGAGGAAAACAAGAAGAGAGCATTCGCCAAGTCCAGGAAACACAAGGTCAATGCTCTAATCACGTTACTGCCAGACTGAAGCCAAAGAGTGACTCAGGCGGCAGCATAACACACTTATGCAGCTGGGGGGGATTAACCGGATTCCAACTCCATCCCAACCTCCTGCAAAGACAGGCCCAGGTAAGGGGATGAGGCTTTCCTCCTGGACAGAAGCAGGTGGCCCAGCCTTCCCCGCTGAAGGGGGAAGAGGTCAACAGGGCAGTTTTTTGTTTTAAAAGAAAAAAAAAAAAGATTTGTGCCCTCGGCCTCAGGTCAGAGCCAGAGCAGCACCTAAGCCAGCCTGTGAAGGCAGGGACACCGGGGGCCCCTGCAGGGAGTGGCCAGCCCGCCAACGGGGGGGGGGGGGGGGGCTTCCTCTTCTGTCGGCCGCCAAGTACAGTTTGTCTCGGTCCTGCGCTCTCTCCCTCTCCCAGCACAGCGTCTTGGGGCTGAGGACCGAAGAAAGGGGAGGCCAAGAGCGCAGCTGGGCCGAAGCCACTTCTCCAGAGCTTCCCAGGGGCCGGTCCCTCCCCTCTCCTGGGGAACCCTGCTCCGAACACCAACATAGTTTACACATAATATCACTTGCTCCGCTGCCAAAGACTGGGCCCATTCACACCACCGTGTTATTCAGACTAGCGAGACTCCTGGTTTGAATTCAGTGTTACACAAAGCAAGTCTTGGCCTTGCCAGGCCTGTCACTAAGCCCCAGTTTCTCCCACAGCTTTGTGCTCTTTGCAGCCACTGGACTCGGCCCAGCATCCGCTGTCTCAAGGGGAGAGCCACTCTGCATCTCCTTTAGGGATCTGTGCCTTTGTGACCAGGACTGACCACCCGAAATCCTACCCGAAGCTTCTTGATTTGAGGGGGTGACAGTGACAACAGGGGCAGGGATCTGTGCGTGACTAACAAGACTCTAAAGCAGCAGCGAGGAGAAGAAAGCAGAGGCGGCCAAGCCCTGAACCCCAGGAACCAGCACTCCAAGGGGAATGCTGCCCCCACGGTCCCTACCCACACCGCCAAGCCCTCCCCAGGAGCCGCCGATCCCGAAGACGGCCTCGGCAGGGCGCGCCACAGACGCCTGGCAGAACCCCCCGGGACAGCCAGGCCCTCCCCGTGGACAAGGGCAGGCCGTCACTGGGAGCCGGGGCTGTCGCCCTCGGTCAGCGTCTTGAAGTCCATGGAGAGAGCTTGTTCCTCGGCCTGGGGTGGCCGCCTCCAGTCCGTGCGGGTCAAGATGTAGAGCACAGTCACGCCAAAGCCGGCCAGCAGCAAGCCCAGCATGTTGCCCAGGACGCCCTCAGGCTCAAACGTGCTGTACTTGGCCCTGCAGGGTTTGGATGGAAGGGAAAAGCCACCCGAGGGGTCACCGTCAGGCCCGAATGCCATTCATACCCAGGCCAGAAAGCCGGCACGGTCTTCCAGTCCCAGCCCTATCCGTCCCCCACCCGGAGAGGAAGACCACTGCTTCGCTAACTCCTCACAGAGCTGGCTCAGAAGGCAGAGGTCCATCTCCAAAGGCCATGGTGGCACGGGACACTCACCCAAGTTTAAACAGCAGCGCCTCCTTCAGGCCCAGCAGGGCTGTGCCCACAGCGAGGAGGAAGATGGTGGCGCCAAAGAAGATGTGCTGCGGGCGGTAGCGGCTCCGCAGAGAAAACGAAGCTCCAGGGAACAGGAAGAAGCTAAAGCCCACAAGCCACTACAAGGAAAGGCAAGGCAAGGTGGTGCCGGAGACCGGGCCAGCCATCGGTCTGAGCAGCCCAAGGACTCGACGCCCCAGACAGGCTGCATCCACACACAGTGTAGGAAGCCCTCCATCCACCCACGTGGCTTTCTTCATCTCAAGAGCAGGGGCGGGGGAAGCAGTACACTTATGGGAAAGGTCCTGGCCCTGGCGCTCGAGGCCTATCTCAGATCATCGTGCTCGTGCACTTGGAAGCCCAGGCCGGTGACCAAACACATGTGCCGTGTCAGCCGGAAGGCAGCCTGGGTCTCAGGCACCCTCGCCTGGGAGATCCTGGCTTTCGTACCCATTTCAGGATCTGAAAGCAGCATCCAACTGTGCTAAAGCACCTCCTTCACTTTCAGGCACACGCGCGGGACAGTGGGCCCTTGTGTGGCACATGGAGCCCTGCCGTGGCCTCGTCCACGCCCTCCCCTCGCCCATCCCCCGTGGCGCTGAACCACCCACCTGCACAAAGTAGAGAACAAACGTGAGGATGCCACACCAGCTGTGCAGGCTGTACAGGTCAGCGTAGCCCTTCCCCCTGTGGTAGTCGAACACCGCCACCAGGCCTGGGCCGGAAGGAGGGGCCGTGTGAGGACAGGGCTCATGGGGAGGGAAGCGGGTGAGGTGACCCAAGGGAAGCCCAACTAGCCGGGACTTCTGGGATCTGGTCCCAGCTCGAGGGCTGCCAGCACCCAGTGTCCCAGCTGAGGATGCCTTCGGGGGAGGGGGGAGGGGGAAGGAACCAAAACAGAACTGCAGTGGAGACCAGAGGTGTCAAGCAGCTACCTCCCCAGGTGAGAAGCAGAGGTGAGGGAAAGGGGAAGCCGTGCCCAGGAACTCACCCACCAGGGCGATGATGAACGCGAAGACGTGCAGCAGTCCGTGCAGGACTTTGGTTGTGCGTTTGGTCTCATTCCTGAAGACGCGGTAAACCAGCAGGGCTTACGGGGAGTGAGAAAGGGAACGTCAGGCCCGCCTGCCACGGGCAGCGAGGAGACAGCGGGGCTGGCAGAGGTGATCTGCATCAGGGCTTGGCAAGGCACCCCGGCCACAGGCCATGGGACAGAAATTGGGCTCCATGGGGCCCGGCGGGGGTCCCGCGGGTGAGTGTGCCCTAACATCCCTGCCACCACCACTTTCTTATCAAGTGTGCTGTGTGCTCCGGGCTGTGTTCTAATTTCATCATGCGGTCACACTGAGGTGTCACCAAGCTTCTGAGTTTGCCTCTTGGCTCTGATGATCCTCAGATAGTCCAGTGTCAAACCTGAGCAGATACTCACTACCTTTCACAGGCAAGCTCCCTAGGTGGGGAACCCGATTCCCAAGCTAACCCCTCATCGGGCTGAGCCAGACGGGGCCAGGTGGCACAGGGAATGCCTCTTAGGGATCTGCTGCTGGGGAGTGGCTGTCACCAGGACCAGCTCTAGGAAGAATGGGTCAAACAGATACAGACCCAGCTTGCTTGTTACCAGACAAGGCCACACAAAAGGCAGCTTGGGGGCCAAGCACAGCCTTACTCCTACCCCAGGGAGGAGTTGTGTCTCTGCCAAGGCCAACATTCCCCCGACACACACTCACACACTCACACTCACACACTCACCCTCTTTCTTCCAATTTCAAACCACCCCTGCAGAAGCCAGCCTCAGCTCGCAGCCCAGACCCTGGGCTGCCTGCTCTAAGCAGCATGCACATCCTTGGATGCTCCACAAACCTCAGGCCCCTGGATTTGGATGCCTGGTGCTCCCAGGCCCCAAGCCAGCTTCCTTCCTGTCTTTTTCTAGAATCTTAGATGTGTCTAAGTGTAGGAGACCCCAGGGATGAGAGGGTTCCTGCAAACCGCCCCTCTCAAGAGCAGTTCCAGGAGCAAGGGCGGGACTTACCGGCTCCCTGTAGGAAGATCAGGCCTATGACCATGCAGAGGGGATGCACATTAAACTGCAGGTCACCCTCCCAGGCGATGCCACCCCTGTACAGACCGAGCCAGGCTCCAGTCGTGGCCACCGCAGTCAGGCCCAGCAGCTGGGAGAAAGCCACGTAGTAAGGCAGCGCCCTGGGGGTGGCCGCCACTCCGGCAGGGCTCTCCATGCTGAGGCAGCTGCTGGAGGGAAGATAGCAAAGCTCAGAGCCGCCCACCGACCGTAGAGGCTTCCTCCCCTGCCTCCCGATGCCCACTACCCCCCTCCACCCCCCTCTCCCGGCCCCTGTGTTAAAGCAGTGCCCTCCATCCTGAGTCTCAAGTGCAGCTCAGCAGAAGTGCCCCACTTCCCCCAGAGACAGACAGGCCAGCACCTGGCCATGAGATGCAGTGAGGGCGCAGAAGGTCCTCCAAATTCTGGTGGGAGCAGGGTGGGCCACGTCGGTGCCTTGCATTCTGTTTCCCAAGACCCTGGCTTTTCTCAGGTGGGGCTCACAGTGGAGGTTCAGAAAATCCCTTGAAGGTACAGTTAGTCACAGTTTATTCTCCAGATGGGTCACAAATACATCCAGAGAGAACGAGAAAGCCTACTTCCCTGCACCCATGGACCCAGCATGTGGCCCCATGTGGCCTAGAGGAGGAGGAACTCTGCCCTGTCCAGGGGCCTGGGCGCAGCCCCTGCAGCCACCCCCTTGCTCTGACCCCACTTTGCCTGACAATGACGACTGTGGGGAACAGGAGGAGCCACACAGCCTGCACACCTGCCACAGCTTCCTCCCCCACGCTCAGGGCAGTGTGGGTCCGCACCCCACCCCACCCCACCCCCAGCCCCGCTCAGGACAGGGAGTAGCACCTTGGCATTCAGAGCCCATGGGGTGTTTGATACACATCATGTAACTCACAACCATCCTGTATGGGACAGTAAAGCAGGCAGTTACTGTCCCCATGCCCCAGATAAGAAAATGGCAGTTCCAGGAGGCTTGGGAAAGCCTTGCTCAGGGGACTGTGTATGTGTGCGTGCATGTGTGTATCTGTGTGTGTGTGTGTGTGTGTGTGTATGTGTGTGTTGAGTACGGTTCCTGGCTCCTCTGCCAAGTGCATCCCCATGCTAGCCTCCCCGGGGGTCAGGATGGCCTTCGTGCCAGCTCTTCCCCCTGAATCCGATGGTTCTCCAGACCCAGAGCCCAGGCCTGGCCCACACGCCCAGGCAGGAGAGGCAGCCAGGGCACAAGGCTGGTGATGAACAAGGATGGCCTCGTCCCTCCGCCTGCCTCGGTGCTGCGGGGTCCCATGCCCCCAGTGTCCCGGGCTTTCTAGGCAGCAGTGGAAACATTTCAGAGAACGACAGATGGGCAGAGACATGGCCTAACAGGTTCTGGGTCTTCCTCTAACACCCAGCGCGTGCTCTCCCTCCACCCTATACAACTCAAGAACTAGTGTCCAGTCAGCCTGGTCTTCTACCAGTAATTGGGGAGGTCTTTTTACCCCTAGGTCTCTCTGCCACAACTGACAAATTTTGGCAACTTCACAATTAAAAAATGTTGGCGGCAGTAGAGAGTATTACTAATACATACTTCCCACAGTAAGATACAGATTAACATGAAAAGGAAAAAATTTACAAGTAATCAGCATTTTCATGTGTGTCCTTACATCCCTTTTTTCTAGAAACATATACATTCTTTTATAAAAACAGAATCATACCAATTTCTAACCTGCTTTTTTAACTTAATCGTAGATTCGGTGTATCTTTTCGTGCCCATGAATATACACTGACGCCATTGTCTCAATGACATCACAGGACTGCACCGTACAGCAGTTCCACGCTTTAACCAAGTCCCAGTCCTCGCTGTTCAACATTTAGCTAGCTTCCAGCTTTTCACTGAATAAGCCACACTATGTGATCATCTTCGCACACATGTCTCATTAATTCCTAAGTGGAGAAATGGAATCCTGCAGCAAGGCTGTATTCTCTTTCAGGTTTTTGATGTTTTATCAAATGATCTTCCAAACACACTCCCATGGCAGGTGGGAACACCTGTTTCCAGAAGCCATGGCAGACAATGAACCCTTATTTCTGAAACTCTTGCCTTTGTCTGTATCTGTGACCTTTACACAAGGCAGCTCCCACATCTAGGGCCAGTTTTGTGCTCTCCCCCAAATACAAACCCCATTTCCAGCTACCCACCATACATCTCTACCAACACCCACAAACACTTCAAACTCCTCCGCACGTCCCTAGTCAATTCATCTGCCCACTGTCTTCATAACCGAATCCTCTCCTGACCTCACAGGTGGTCAGTGCGACTGCCTTCCTTGTCCCAGCGCTGACACCCTCCACAGACAGGCCACCGATCCTCGGGGTTCTCCCCAGGGTCGCCCGCCATCACTTCCCTCCTGGCCATCTTCATTGCCAACATCCCAGCCAGAGCATGGAGCTTCTGCCCCGATCTCTGTACCCCTTCTAATCTGCCATATGGGCCAGGGACAAGGACAAGGCCAGTTCCCCAACTCATGTCACCCCACCTTGTGCAAATGGGGCCCAACGCTTGCCTGCCGGTGAAATGGCAACACTCATAAAACATGATCCTAACTCAGTTTCCACCTGCAGCCCCACATCTTCCCACCAAGTCCACTCAGCTCAGCTTCGCGGGTTCTCACAACACCCTCTACCTCACTCCCTGCACCTGTCTTCCGGCTCCCCACCACTCACCCTCCCCTCCATCCACCTGCCCCACGACCTGAAAGAGACATTTCTTTCTTCTCTGTCCCCTCCTCTGCATCCCCAAGGCTGGCCTGGAGCCCACTCACCCTGTCGGAGGTCTGCCTGCCGCGAAGTTCACCTGTGCCTGTCTGCTAACGTGCAGAGCGAGCTCCTCAAGGCAGGGAATGCTTCCTACTCTTCCTTGGGTCTCCTGGGGATCTATTCCCCTGCCTTAACTCTAACAGGAAAAATCTACTGAACAGAGAGAGGCTGTCCTTGGGTCACTTGTTCTCCGTCCTCCCCGCCTTTATTAGATTTATCCCCAGAGAGCCCGGGGCACAGTCAGAATCTGATTAGCTCCAAATTAGGAAGAACAGAAGGAACGTGCTCTGCTGCTGGTAGACCTGCCACACCCTCTCCCTGCCCAGCAGAATAACCAAGGACAGCAGTGGGAGTTCAGGGCCACAAAGGGATCATGGCCTCTGGATCTCAGAGCTACTCCGCGGCCTGGCAAGCCAGAGGCAGCATGTTTCCCTCCCAGCCAGTCTCCTAAGGAGGCAGATGGAAATCAAGGCAAGGTTCTCTTCAGGGCTGTGATGTTGTGACTTATAAGAAATATGTAGGATGGGGGCACCTGGGTGGCTTAATCAGTTAAGCATCCGACTTCAGCTCAGGTCCTGATCTCACAGTCTATGGGTTCGAGCCCCGTGTCCAGCTCTGTGCTGTCGGCTGGGAGCCTGGAGCCTGCCTTGGGTTCTGTGTCTTCCTCTCTCTCTGTGCCTCCTCCTCTGTGCTCCTCATGCTCTATCTCTCTCGCTCTCAAAAAATAAATATGAAAAAAGATTTTTAAATATATATATTGGATGGAGCTCATAAACTCCTAAAACTCTTAAAATTTCCCAGGAAAGCCCTAACTCTGTCTTCTGTTATTTTAATGAGCACCTAGATAACCTGGGGCGGGGGGGGGGGGTAGTTGCCAGGGGAACCAACATGATTGAAGACTGGCCCTTTGGGTTCTACCCCTCAACCTCTAGGGAGGGAGAGGGCAGCAGATTTGTTCAATCACCAATAGCCAATGATCTAATCAACCCTGTCTCTGTGCCGAAGCCTCCATTAAAATTCAAAAGGAGCTTCCAGGGGAGGACGCTACCCTAGTTCCCTGGGGAAGGAAGCTCCTGTGCTCTGGACCCTTCCGGACCTCGCCCTACCTACCTCTTCGATCTGGCTGTTCCTGAGTCACATCCTTTTGTAATAAACCTAATAAGTGAAATGTCTCTCTGAGCTCTATGAGCTGCTTTAGCAAATTAACTGAACATGAGAAGGCCATGGGACCTTCTTATCTACAGCAGGTGGGTCAGAAGCACATATGCCAAACTGGGTTTGCGACTGGCCTCTGAAGTGGGGGCAGTCTCGTGGGCCTGAACCCTTAACCTGCTGTCTCCAGGTAGACAGTGTCACGATGGAGTTAAACTGTAGGATGTCAGTCAGTGTCCACGCAAACTGGAGAAGTGGCTGGTGGCACTGAAAAGAAATCACACTTTGGAGCAGCGAGGTAACCGAACGGGCGGCTTTGCCACCCTACACCGTAGAGTCCCACCCTGAACTCCTCGGGAAGGCAAACCACTGATGCTGTTTGCACCCACCGTGGCAGAGTGGGGGTGTCTGCTCATGTTGGGGGGACACCAGGGGCCTTGCAGCAGACTGCAAGCCCCTACTGTGTGTTCAGCATTCCCTCACGGAACCTTCACCATACCGCTATGGTAAGAAGAGAGCACTTTCCACTATACACACAGAAGACAGTTTTCCCCACTTTAATACATCGATGTGGCACTCCCTGAACAGCTGGCTGGCTGGTGGTGGGGTGGCTTTGCCTAGAAGCTAGGGTGGAGCTCTCATGCTCTCCAAATACTGAAGCCAATCAAGGATCTGAATGGGCATTTGCCAAAGAAGTTGCTTTTTTTTTTTTTAATTTTTTTAATGTTTTATTTATTTCTGGGAGAGAGAGAGAGACAGCATGAGCAGGGGAGGGTCAGAGAGAAGGAGACACAGAATCCGAAGCAGGCTCCAGGCTCTGAGCCAGCTGTCAGCACAGAGCCCGACGCGGGGCTCGAACCCACGAACCGCAAGATCATGACCTGAACCGAAGTCGGACGTTTAACTGACTGAGCCACCCAGCCGCCCCAGAAGTTGCTTTTGAAACAGAGCTCCAAGGAGGTCTCTCCCTGTCCCATGCCAATCCTCCTGTGCCCCTCACCCCTCAGGAGACCATGCTCCTAAGGCGCTTTAAGGCCACCACAGCACCAAGCACCGGTGTTCCCTGTGAGCTCTCCTGGGAGAAAAGGAAGCAGGATGGGATGGGGTGGCAGGAGGGACAACCAGCTGCTCCATGAGATCTGCATGTCAACTGCTCCCAAGGCAGCTCTCCAGCCCCATCTGTCCTGGGGAACTAGGCATAAGGGTAATGCGACAACCAGGAGGAAGTCATAGATAAAGGATGACCTTCGGAACCATGGAGGACCAAGCCGTGTCCCTCACTCCCCCTTCCAACGTGAAGGTGATTTCAGCCCAAGTATGAGGGAAGCAGGAAAGCTCACACTAAGCACCTCAGGCAGGCCTGTCTGTGCCTTACCTACAGGTGACCCCGTAGTCAAAATGTTCCAAGCGTGGAAAATCCAGATTCCTTCCCTAGCTTCTAGGGAACACCACTCTGCTTGGAATCCAACCCATCCACAAACACATTTTGCATGTGCAAACCTTGAAAGGAGTTGAGAGATTCACTCCCCAGCAAGCAAATACCTTTGAATCAGGCCCCTTCGTTTCCCACACCAGACAGTGAGAACGCTCTCTTCCCTCCCAACGGGGTTAGCCCCCCAGAACGCCGGGCCACCTTTGTTCCCAGAGCAGAAGTGTGGGCAGCAGTGTCAAGGGCCTTGAAGCTGCCACTCTCCAACCCAAAAGTCTCCTCTGCCGGGCAGACCAGAGTTTTGGAAGCAGAGGAGGCTCTTCTAGCCCTCAGAGCCCCTTACACAGCCACCCTCCTTCCTGGCAGAGCACAAGATGGGGGTGACAGCTCTGGTAGCTTCTGGAACTTTGGGCTGAGACAGTCACCCCTCCCCTCCCACACGCACTTGCAGTGAGACTCCACTTAATGCAATCAAACAGGGACAGGAGAGGTACCCGCAGGGGTTGAACGTGCTGAAAATCACTCTCCTCATGCCCGCGGTTTCATTAAAAGGCCACTAGGCCTAATCTCATTATGAGGACCAGACACTGCCCACGTCCTAGAGCCTGGAAGCAGGCAGCCTGGCCTGGCCGCAGCCTGGCTGGGCTACAGCCCTCCTTGGCCACAGCAGGGTTTTAATTGGGTTACACAATTATACTGGGGACGGAGGTTAGATCTTTTCTAAGATCTGAGTGGGGTGGAGGGGAAGACTCAATTGCCCTAGAATGCCCTAGAATGTGATGGAAGAGAAGGCAAAATGAAGGTTGGGCTGTCAGGCAGGGCCCCAAGTAGCCTGAAGTAAGAAAGCAAAGCCCAGTTCTCCATTAGGTACAGCGGGCTTGGTGCCAAGGTTCCCAAATACTTGTAGGGACCTACAAAAAATGTTATGATTTCTGCTAAAATTAGAAGGAAAAATAAATTTAGTGTTGAAGAAAATATTTTAATTTTTAATCCGGCCCGGATTATATTGGTCTCTATACCAACACAATTGTAAAATACAGGGTTTTTTATAAAACTATTATTATTTTTAATGGAAGAAGGGTCCTAGCAAGGCAAAAGTGTCTACAGCGCACAAATGCAGCTCTGGTCAAACGGATGTATTTTTAAAGTCAGCCCCACTGTATCTGACTGTGTGCTCCTGGTCAAGCCCAGTCCAGCTCTCTGAGCCTGCTTCCTCATCCACAAGATAGGGGATATCAAGTCCCACCTTATTATTCATGCCCGGCAAAAATTAAGTGGGATAAATATGTAACAGCGCTTAGCAAAGTGCCTGCCACATGGTAGGCACTCAATCAAATAAGAGTCTAACAAAAACTAAATCGGGTCCTAATAGCACGTTGGGAAGAGTCGCACATCAGAAGTTGTTGACACGAGAGGCTTTTGGGGCCACGGAGAGCCAGATGGCAGCACTACCCTCTCTCATAAACCCACACGCCCCTTCTGTCCACTCTCCGTCCCCCACTGGGCAGAAACCCCCGGAACTGGGGTGGCTTTCTCCACCAATACCTCCTGGTGCTACTGAGCCCCCCCCAACCCCCCCCCCATCCCTCCACCCCGCCTATATTAGCAGGTGCCCAGCTCTGCGGGCCGGGCCGGGGAAGGCGCCCAGGGCCCAGAAGCTGCTGCAGGTGGGGGGGGGGGGGGCTCCACCTCCTCAGTCCCGAGGCTCCTCCTGCGTGGGGGTGGGGCGGCGGCAGCCCTCTCTCTATGCGGGGCTCACCTTGGCATTTACAAGTTTTCTCTCCGTATTTTCCTGCCTCAAATCCAATTTCACAAGAGAAATCAAGATATCTAGGGGAAGGGGGCAAAGCTTTGGGGTTTCTTTATTTGCTATGCAAACAAAGGAATAGAATCCAGACGTCCTGGGACGGGAGCTTCATTTAAGGAGATTCAGAAAATCCTCAAAGACTGCCAAGTTCCGGTGTATGACAGGAGAGGGGCGACCTCGAGGAGAAAGGCTGGGGACAGGGTCCGCAGGGATCCCCTTCTCTGCGGTGCCCTCAGGGGACGAGCGGGCAGACAGTGGAGGTGGCCCCGCCATCACCTAGGTGTCAAAGGCAGCAGGGGGCCCCTTCCTTCGCTCAGTTCTGCACCCCCGTCCCCACAGCTCAGGGGCCTCCCAGGCCCAATCCAGCGAGCCAGGATTTCCCAAGCGAGGAACTCCTACCCTCACACCACGAAGCTGCGGGTGTTCCAGAACAAGGAAGGGATCTCCCAGCCAGTCATTTCACCCCCAAGAGGAGAGAGGCGAAGCTGAGGGAGCGCCCGCCAGCAGCAAAGCAGCTGGGCCCGTTTCAGGTTTCAAAAGAACAGTCGTGGCAAATGGTGGTTGATCCATATCTACCCCAGCTCGTTTCTAGAACATTGCAAAATATCAGCCGTGAGCCCACTGACAGGTGGTTCTAACTTCCGCAGACTGGTACCGAGGCCGGGCCAGAGGCCGGCAGCTCCGGCAAGGAGCGCGGCCAGCTCTTTCACCTCCCGCGGGGCTCGGGAGCAGGTGAGGTGAGGGGCAGGTGTGGCGGCAGGTGAGGGACGGAGAACGACTCGCGGCAGCTCGGGGGGTGGGTGGCGGGCCCGTTCCGCTGCGGGCGCACCTGGGCCCCCTCCCCGACTCCGCGCGGGGGCTCGGCTCGCACCCACCCGCCCGGGCCGCCTACCTGGCCGGGCGCCGGACCCGGAGCTCGTCCCCGCCGCGCAGCGCCCCACCGCTGACCTGCAGGCGAGCTCCCCGCGCCGCGCCCAGGCCGCTCAGCCGGTTCCGGCGGCCGCGCCTGCCGCTGAGCTACGGCGTCTCCATGGCGACAGGGCGGCAGGCGGCGCGGCGGGGGTCACGCTGAGGGCAGGGGGCGCCGGAAGTGCTCCCCGCGCGTCCCCGCACTCGCGGCAGGGCCCGGCCGCCACCGATGCCCAGGTGTCGGGACGCGGCCCCGCCAGGTCCCGGGCCCAGACCTTGACGCCGAGTGGCAGGGGCTTCGGCGCAGGGCGCTGAGGGGGGACAGCCGCGGCCACCGCGACCCCGGCCTTCTGGACCCGAGCTCGGGTAACCTTCGAAATGCGGGCCTCGCGACCCGGCCACCGGGAACCTGGCGTCCAGGGACGCGAGGGGGGTCTGCGACCCCGTGAGTGTGGAGGCCTCCTGCCCAGACCTGACGCGGAGACCGCGGGCGCAGTTCGGGGAGGGGGAGAGGGGAGTATGGGCTGCGGAGCGGGGGACCAGGACCCTGGAAGGGGACTGAGCCTGGGCGCCAAGGGGAGGGGCTGCAGGCCCGGAGAGCAGCGGCCGGGCCTCGGCCTAGGGTCCGCGCTTCCGGATTCCCTTCCTCTCCCTCTTCTCTCCCTCCACCATCCCCTGCCCCTCGCCCCGCCCCGGGCTCAGGTGGCCACTAGGTGTCAGACACGGCCCGGGCCTGGCCCACGCTGCGGCTCCTGCGGCCAGCGGGGAACGCAGCTCCTTCCTCGCTGCCCCGAGGGAGATGTCACCTTACAGGAAGGCTGGACTCACCACTTCACCAGTACCACCCTCCTGAGACACACGCGCGCGCGCACACACACACACACACACACACACACACGGTGACTTTTCCTGCCCCTCTTTCTCAAAGGGCTTTGTCTGAGACCTGCTACCCACCCTCCAGGCAAAACAGCCTAAGGATAAATACAGTTCTCACCCGCCGAAGGCCTAGACCTTGCCAACGGCAGCCTCCCCTGTCCCAACAGCTAAGAGAGGAGGATGCCAAGGCCAAGGCTGGGGGCCAACCCCTACCGCAGACCCCTATCCAGGAAATGCTGTGGGTAGATAACAAGTCCAGTTCAGACTTCTTACAAGCTCAGAACAAAAGGTTCTTTCCTGTCAGATGCCTGGCAAGACTTACCAAGAGCCTGGGTTAAGAGGGAAACGGGGTTTCCTCCCCTGGAGATGTAAAAGAGATACCCCTCCCCCACAGCGTGGCTCTCCCTCTCCCTCCCCCTACCTCCCACACTGTGGACTTCCCATGGGCAGTGGCCAGAGGTTCCTGGAGGACCCTGGCCCTTGGGGATTTACTACCCCCTTACAGAGAGAACATATTCTCAGGCACATGACAAGACACCCAAGGGTGCCCACTGCCCTGAGCACACCTAATAATGAGGCAAACAGCAGGGCCCACCCCTCAGAGTGACCAAGCTTAAACCTGCTACGGCATAAATTTGTTGGAGTAGCTTTCCAGTTGGAGGGCGTTAATGGACATTTTAAATTAAGAAACAGTTTCCTTAGCGTGCCAACAGGCAAACAGCAGGCAACAAATGCTCTGTGTGTTAAATGTGGAACTCAGCCATTTCCCATTGTTTAGCCTGTATATCTGGGCTTAGAGGAGGAGAACTGGAGTGGGCAGGGTGGCATAGAGGAGCAGAGCCTGCTGGGAACTCTGTGATTTGAGTGCTGAGCTTCCCGGTATAGGGCTTTCAGCCCCTTCCAAAGCTGGGAGAAATGCCTGCTGAGGCAGGAAGGGGCCCCTTGCGTCCTTCTTCCCTGCTGCTGCCATGGTCCATGGCCCTGGGCTGTGGCAGCTCCCTCTCAGAAGGGAGAGCATACCCTGCCAGCAGTGTTCTCAGAGGTCTGCTTAAAGTGGGGAGGGGGTGGAGGTGGTGCTGAGTGACATAAGGTGCCTCCATGGGGACCAGCCACACAGGGACTTAGCTCTAGGGGCTCACAGCTCCTCTTAGCTATTTTAAAGAGCAGATGATCCCACCAAACTGCCGTCAACACCAAAATCCGCAACCCAGGATGGCAGACACCCCCACTCTCCCCACGCTCCCTGCTGCTAAGCCTGCTACCACAGAAGCTAGAGAAGCTTCCGCCCTACAGCTGGAGGCAGAGGTGGGTAAGAGCAGGCTGGCAGAGCAGCACCAAGGCCCCCTCTTGAGGACTGAGGATGCGGTCCAGGGTATGTTCCCTGCAATCCCATCCCTTCCCCGCATTCACAAAGCCACCGCCAGACTCCCCAGATTCCCTCCCGCCTCTCCTTTGGAGTGTCCCAATCATCACTTGGCTCATTCTTTCAGATCTCAACTCCCAAGACAGGCGTTCTGTAAAACCATCTGATCCAGCAGGTGGAGTTGAGGTTGTGATGTAGGGAGAGACTTTGTGCTAAGTGTGCTCATGACAGCTCTGGGAAACCACACCTGGCGTTCACCTTGCTCTTTGGCCAAAAGCATTTAAAGGGCAGGAAGAACCAAGGCAGTGAGCAGAATGTACCCGATGAATACCCACGGGCACCTGGCTGATGAGGGCTGCCCTTACTAGGGCTCCCAGATTGAGTAAGATGGATTCCCAGTTAAATTTGAATTTGATATTTTTTTGGCATAAGCATGCTCCACTCCCTGTAATATACTAAAAATCTGTTCATCATTTATTTGAAATTCAAATGTAGCTGGCAAGCCTGCTGTATTTACCTGGCAAGCCTACCTTGCTCCTGTTTGGAAAAGACAGGAGAGGGGCCTCCTGGCCATTTTGGCCCCTCCCAGCAAAGCTTCCCTATCCCCAACGGGCTGAACACCCCGCTAACTCCTCAGCACATGCTACAGGCAGAGGCCTTAACCTTGGGCTGCAGAGAATATAAAAGGCACAGGAGACAGTGCCCCAGGCCTAAGGTTCTGCAGAATGCTCCTAGAATTCATTCACTTCTTTACAAGAATTTTTATCAAGTCCCTTCAGTGTGCCAGGTGCTGAGTGACCCTGGGAGTGTATCCATGAACACAAGAGACACAGCCCTTTCTCTCTGACCTTAGAGTGTAGAAAAGTTGCTCAACCCAGATATGAGGGTCAAGGAAGGCTTCTGGGACATGTGACATCAACTCAAAGAACCACAGGACAAGCAGGGGTTTGCATGGCAAAGGGACAGCAGGGAGAGGACAAGACTGTCCTAGCCAAAGAAACAGCTAGAAGGACTAGAGCTTTGTGCGGAAAAGAGGAGATGGCCTAACTAGTTCACCTTCGGGGCTCCTGGGCTACTGCCAGAATCAACATGCCTGAACCGAGCCTGCACCAGCTCCGGGAGGTAAGCCTTGCCTTAGGATGGCAGGGAACTGAAAGACATACCCTGACCAGTGTACAGAGCCGGGAGCAGCCTGCTGCCGGGGGCGGCACCACCGGCCCCCTCCCTGAGGAGCTTGCTCCAGCTTCCTGGAAAAGAAAACTAGTCTGAGTCTGAAAGCAAGTGGCTACTTTGATGAGCTTAAAATGGAACTATAATCACTTGGAGAAAAACCTATCTTTCAGCTTCAGGGACAAGCAGCCCCAGCAAGAGCAGCCAGAGCACCAGGAGCAGCCGCGATGGGGAAGGAGTAGCAGCGAGGCAGGGGACTGGCCACTGAGGAAGACAGTGAGTCACCTGGGACCTCCACAATTTGAGGGGATTGGGCAGAGGGACATCATGGGCTGTGGGTCCCAGGCTGCCCCCCAAGCCGGTCCAGTCTGGGAAAGCAGGTCAGACAAACAAGAGCAAAACCTGCTCACAAAGCAATTTAACCCCTCAGGAGGGATGGAGAAGCGATGAGTGTCAGGATAGCCAGGCCAGTTTTCACCTCTGCCAGGCTCTGAGGAATGGGATGCTAGTTTGATAGGCAGAGGGGACCAGCCTGGTACAAGAGGTGGCATGATGGCACCCGGTGCCCAAGGTGGGAGGTGATGGAAGGGATGGGCTTTCCAACCTCTCTTTGTGTTTCTGTACAGCCTCCCCCCCACCTCCCAGGGACAGATCAGCAGGAAGTCTGTTTTCCCTTCTGCTCTCCCTTCCTTCCCTCCCTTCCTCCTTCCCTTCATTTTTCCTCCCTCCCTCCCTTCTTTCCCTTCCTCTCTCCCTCCCTTCCTTCTCTTCCTCCCTCCCTCCCTTCATTCTTTCCCTTCTTTTCCTTTCTTTCACCAAAGTTTTATTGGGCACCAGCTTGTGTCAGGCACTGTTCTGGGCACTGGAGAAATAGTAATCGATAAAACAGAAGGTCCTGCTTTTATGTAATTTATATGAAGTGAGGGCATCAGATAATTAAAAAGGAAACTGACTAACAATGCATATACACACATACACATATATATACACCGATACACAGAAACCTAATTGCAAGTAGCAACAAGTATTAAGAAGAATAAAAAGCAGGGGAAGGGCTGGAGTGCCACAGGAGAAAGGCTCTCTGAGGAGAGAGGGGTAGAGATGCAGGCCCTATGAAGACGTAAGGGAAGGTAACCCCAGATGAGGGAAGAGGGAGAAAAGGCAAAGGCCCTGAGGCAGGAATGTGCATGGTCATCTCCACCCTGCCCTACCCTCTAACACTGTCCTCCCCAACTGAGGAGAAATTGTATACAGAGTAGTAAACAGGAATGTAAACAGGTTCTCAGGGAAGGCGGAAGTTGAAGATGTGAGGTGTGAGGCAGGGACCCAGCAGCAATTCCCAGGGTGTCTAAGAAGTGTCCATAGCCCCATAGTTGTAGTTTATCTGATTACTGGCCATGTCCTTCACACAACGGAGAACGTGGACATAGGGTCACAGTCAGTGAGGCACTGCCAAGCACCCCTTTTCCAGGCTGGCCTGAGCAAGAGGCATTGGAGCCCAGCCCCAGGACCTCACCTGGGCCAGCCCTCCTCTCCAGGAAGAACACATGAAGAGGTTTGTGTCCCAGTGGGGTCTTCAATCCCCACCTTCCTGCTTTTCTCCTTGAGTAGGCCAGTCTGTCAGTCAATCCACAAACATCAAAGACCTGCTATGTGAGTGCTAGGGATGTTCCTTATGGAGAGCAAGGAAGACCCCGAGGAACAAAGGTGTGAGCCTGGGGGTGAAGGGTGGCCGGAGCCTTGGGTGTTGTCAGCAGAGGCGTGGAGAGGTGCTGCTGATAATGACAGCCACCTCATCAACTTCATGAACCAGCCATAAACTGCAGACCCAGGACTCTTGCACTTTGTTCAAAGCCCTCAACAGCTCTGAGTTCTCATCTTCACTCAACGCCATGCCTATCCCCCTTGGTTCTCGGCCAAGCTCCTCATGACATGAGAGCAGCAAAGGAGTGGGGGCCACTCTGAGCCCGAAGTGCAGGATGACCAAGCCATGGCCCAGAGGATGCCCCAGTGCGAGCTGGGCAGAGGCTCAGGCAGTGTCCCCCAGTCGTGACTTTATGGCAGCCCTCTCCAAGTCAGAACTCAGCTGAATCCAGAAGAGCTGACAAAAGGGGGCACTCGTATAAGGCACTGTCTCTGGTGAGTACACGAAGGCTGGTAACTCTTCCAAGGTTATAAGTTAGCAGCACACCTGTCCTGAGTCAGAGGTTTCACTTAACCCTGCTCTCCCCCTCCCACCTCTGTCCTGTACACTTCTCTTGGCCTTGGCCATCACCTCCTATCTGGAGTGCTCCTATCAGGCCAGCTGGTCCTTGTCAAGAGCAGATTAGATTCGAAGGCACCTTGACCTTAGCTCAGAACCTCCCTGACCCAAGAAGCCATGTTCCTTTGATTCCTTCCAGCCAGTGCGAGACCCTAACAAGTGGGCTGCTACCAGGGAGAATCACACTGCCAGCTGGTCCCCCAGTTAGGATTGATCCTTGTCTCTTGCCTCATTGCCTGCTGTGGGCCAGTCATACCTCTTGTTCTAGGAGGGCTCTGAGGGGCGCCTTCCTGCAGCAGGGCCGAACTGGACTCTCCTGCTCTGACTGCAGCAGGCAGCTCTGGGCAGGCTTGCTTCACAGCATCGCCCTAAAGTTCCAGGGCCCAAGAATGTTGCCCAAGGGCTGGCTCTTTGGTTTCAGAACCTAAGGCTGTATCTTTGGAAGGCATAGATTCTATTTGGAGTCTTTAATAAGTCATCCATCCCAATATACAGTTATCCCCTAGGAAGCGATAGCTCTTCACAGCTTCAAGGGCAGTGTTAGGTCCTGACATTGACACAACTCTGAGAATTCTCATCTATCTTGAGTTTTTCTCCTCGTCCAAGGGCCTCTCCTCATCTGATAAAGCCAAGCACCATCAGGGCTTTTTTTTTTTTTTTGATAGAGGGCTCAGTCTTGGCTTCACTTCCCTGTAGAGTCAAGACCCGGCTGCACCTGCTTGCCTGGGCAGCTGTACACAAGCAGATGTGGTGGCCGGTGTGAATGAGCCCAGCTCCTGAGCTTTGCCACACCCCCAAGATGACCAGGCCCACCGCAGAGCCTGGCCCCATGCAGGTTCCTTCGTGAACAGGCTTCTCCCTGAAAGCCCCAGCACCCTTCCCTCCCAGCTGCCCATCAGAGGAGGTCTGCTAAGATAGAAGGGTCTCAGTTCACATTCTTCCCTCCTCCTATCCATGTTCATCAACCTCTCTCACTCTCAAGGTGGCGGGGGTGGGGGGTGCGTCACGAGGTGGCCTCTGCCTAGCCACGGAAGTCCACTGCCACCTTTCTCTCAGCATGGGACTTTCTGTCTGACACCTGCATAAAAGGCCCTCTCAAGAGCTCCTTCCTAAAACAAACTACTACAAAGTAAACTAAAACCAAATGTCATCTTCTTCCCTAGGAGTCCCTCCTCTGACCCATCTTTGGTGCCTTCAGGAATTTGTTTCTTGAAGGGCCATGAGGAAAGGGGCAGGGAGGCCAGGCAGGGCCAGGGTGCTGGGCATTCAGGGGACTTTTTCAGGGCCCTGGGCTTACTAGAGGTGAGGGGTGGACCCCGAAATGAATTTGCCTCCTGTGCTCTGGGTCACACAGCAGACTGTGACCGGGCCAGCAGGCATGTGCCTCTCCCCCAGCCCGGTGGGAGGCTGGCCAGACCCCCAGCTCCAACCCCCTGCCACCACTCTGATGGTAACTGCCCCTTCTCTGTGGGTCCCCCATGTTTCTGTCTCTGCTGAAACAGACCTCATTTCACTTCTCTGCCTCTCTGTCTCAGTTTATCTCCCTGGTCTCTCTCCCTTCTCTCCCTCTCTGTCTTCCTGTCTGACCTGAGGTTCCCTGGGCTGCTGGGAGGCAGATGACAATCTCCAGCACTTCAGAGTGTGGGCAGTTTCCTGGCCCTTCTCTGGGAACAATGTGCGAGATACACACAGGGACCCTGTAGTGCTTTAGGGACAGTTAGATGCCCCAGCGCAGGGCCCCACTAGGGCTGGGGAAGGGTCACTGTCACTCAGTCAGGCCCTCAGGCAGGACAGGGATGGTGGTGCCGAAGTCTAGCAGGCATACAGGATGACCGCTGCAGCTAGCGAGCCCTAGGCACCCCCACAGCCCCTCACCACCACCATGTCATGCCTGCTGCAAGGGAGACTGAGATCGATTCGTTCTAGTCAGGATCTCAGCAAACCTGCCGTGTACACAGGCGGCCACGGCTGCACCAGGCCCTGGAAGAAATGTGAGCATAAGGGTGCCCAGTTTCTACCGCCCAGAGCTCAGGGGGAGATGAGTATGCAAATGGCCACAGTCCCACTCACTGACGGTGCTGAGTGCTGAAGCCATGCTCCGGGAACAGAAGGGCAGGTCGGGCCTGGAGGGATGATGGCTGGTGAGCAGGAGCTTGGAGGCAAGGGACATTCCAGGCAGAAGGAGGGAGAGACAGGAAAGTCCCCAGGGGCCTGAGAGTTCAGGGTCTGCTTGACGTGCCTGTGGGCAGCTTGTGTAGACTGCTGAGTCAGGAGAAGGATGGAATCTGACTGGAGTTGCAAACACTTTTTAGTTTGCCAAGTAAAGACATTTTTTTTTAATATGCCATTTTCTCACATAAACCATCTTATGAAAGAAGTAATATTTTAACTACAAAAAAAAAAATAGAAAGGTTATTTGGAATAAAAGATATTGTGACCAAAACAGGACAGCTGGGAACTTGGCTGATATATGCTGACTACTTTCTATATCTGACTGTTCTTGTCTTGCTCTCTTTATTGCTGACTATTAACACTTTATCAAGGCCAGAGTTGGCCAGCAACAGGCCTCCGAGAGCATTGATACCTGTGGAGATAGGGCCAGAACTGAGGATGTGGAGGAGGCAGGGGGAAGAAGGACTTTGGACTTCACTCCAAGGAGCGCAGATTTTATCCCCAGATGAGGCGTGGGGAAAGGTTTTGCAAACGGTTGCTGTTTTCAGGTTTGTGCTTTAGGACAAGCTTCCATTCCCAGGCTGCGTGTGAGAATGGGCTGCAGAGAGAGACTGAGGACGAGAACAGAGGGAGGGGCCTTGAGAGATGATGAGGATCCATAGGTGGGGGCAGTGGCAGTGGGGCTCAGAGAGGGGGCTGGGCACCGCAGTGAACAGGTGGGGCGAGAGGAATGCACAGAGCCAGAGAGAAGCAGATGTCCTGTCTGTGTGCATTTGTGCTGGGATGGCAGCAGAGGTCACCTCACCAGGAGCAAAACCTGGTGAAGTGGGTTTAAGATCTG